CAAAGGCATAAGTGTATTATAAGAGTCTGGGAAAAGCAATAAGAGACGCCCCTTTCAGCTTCCAGAGGGGAATACGCCTTTTCAAAAATTTTATTAATCCAGAGTTTAAACCTGCTACTATCGATTAAAAATTACTAATACTGAGGCTTGCTTCATGCCATGACCTGTGAGGAGGTATAGAAAAAGGACAGCAAAAAGAATGAGGGCTAGAGGTGGAGCGGATTAAATCTGCAGAGCCACAGGCTCAGCCTGCACGGGGCGAATTTCGCTTTGCCCACCACCACCCTCGGTGTATCTGCGGAACCGCAAGTTAACTGTGTTTAGCAAGGCATGTTCATCTCTCACTGGGTCCGTCACAATGCGTTTTGCTATACTGGGTTCTCTCTAAGTCCCACGAGGAGGGATATTTTGCTGTTCATTAAAATAACCTGTTCGTGGTAAATGTGAGTTGTGTTATAAAAGCTAGTTTTTACCAGTTTGGGGGGGAGCTCACTACTAATGAATTTTCAAATAGGCTCTCAAAAACAGCCATTTCTAACAAATAAATTATATAAATTTACAATTAAATAAATTAATCTAGAAATAAAGGTAATAAGCCCAACCACTGAGTTTATTAGTTATTATACAGTTTAATACCATCTTTCCCTTTCAAGCATGTTCACAAACGCCTTTTGGAACATTTTACTAGTTGTCTAATAGGTCTGTCATTGTAATTCCTAAATCTGTGTCTTCTCATTAATATCTGCTGGTGGCCTTTTGTCATCTGAGTTGAGATCTCATCCATCCTCACCCTACATAGTTCTGTGTTGTGTCCTAGACATCGTGACTGTTATGAGACTCTGGGACTTGTTTAAATCCTACGGACAATGCTGATGGTTTTGTTTCAGGAGACAACCACAGTCTAAGCATGTTGGGCCTCGGCTCCAGCCCACCATCTTTGGCCTGTGTTTTAAGATTAGTTCAGCTTTCAAGGCCTTTGCAGTGCTCCATCCACCCCATACCTCCAGGTCAGAGGCAGTGGTCCGCTATTTCAGCTCCCAAAGTCCCTTGTGCGCAGACGAGGATCAGATTTATTTCTGTGTGGCTCAGGAGTGAGCCCAGAATTTATTTATAAGTGGCTTGATGGGTTGCTTTCCCCAGCTCTTCTCTGTGTGTTCTCTGGTCCCCAGCGCTGCCCATCCTGCGGTCTCCCCAGCTCTCCCTGCACCTTCTGCCCGCTAGGGGAGCTGCCAACACATCCTGCTTCCTTTTAGGAGCACAAGAAGTTATGATTCCTTATAAAGTATCAGTTCTGGATTCCTTCAGCTCATGCAGGATTTTCCCAAATTTGTTAGTATGTTTCTTAAAGTGTGTTACCCTTAACACGGGGCAATCATTTCCCGGGATCTGGAGGATGTAACACTGTTGAGAGCTTGCTGGTTTCTCAGTAATGGTGTTTCATTGCTGGCTCACACTAAAGTGTTGGAAATATCAGGTCTTTTGCTTATGGATAGCATCAGGTCTTGGTCATGCTATCCACAAGTATTTTCCCCCAAATGCGGGGATTTGGAGCTGCTAATACCAAATGCATGTACCAGGTGCCCATGATCAATATAATTATGTAGCAAACATACTAATAAAAAAAACTACAAGAGACAGAGGTAAAAGCAAAAGGCCTCAAATTAATAATATTCTTTTTACTCTAGCTTGTCAATCTTGCCTGTTGAAGAAAGTCGGAATGCTGATGCTATGATCTGTTTTATTAGTTGTTCACCTGACCCTTATGTGGAGGGAACAGAAGCCAGTGTTACTATGATGCCGTACTACAAAGAGGCCAGCAGAATGACACTCTCAGAGGCTGAGAGCCGCACTGCACTCTGATTTCATGTGGCTACCCTGTCCCTGAGCATTTCCAATCTCCAGTGTAGACAGAGTTCCATTTCTTTTCCTCCGCGTTCTTCCATCCCATGCCAAGCATGGGCTGTGTGTAGACACCTGCACCGTGTGTTGAGTAGATTTCTCTTACACCAGAGCCAATCCGCACCTGACAGCTGCTGGCAAGTCTGGCTTTGAGACTGAGATACGGCACGGTTCTCCCTCGTAAGTTAGAGGAGGATCCAACAAGTGCAAACAGAAAAGAAGAAGAGAGGTGATGGGAAGAGGACTGTGAAAGAAAATCAAGGGAGGCGCAAGCAGACCCCGCAGGGAAGCAGGTGGGACTCCTGCTGCGCTCAGCCTGGTTCTCCTTGGCTGGGGCTCTGGGTAGGACTCTGCTATGCTTTATCAACTTGTGTCAACTTGAAGGGTTTAGAGGTTTACCTGAAAGATTCAGCACCAGCCAGGATTCTTACTTTGTAAACATCCTTATCCTGTGCAAGAGGACAGCACGGAGATTTTGTGAGTGCCACATTTGCCCTGTGTTGTATTCGGGGGTTGTACACAGAGAACAATTCTAATCAGGACATGGAGTTTATAATATTTTATAATGGTCACGGAAGTTAACACAGGAAAATGCAGGAAATCTATCCACAACACCAAAGACATAGATTATTTAGTCAAGAGCCTAAACCCCACGGCAATGTCCCACATGAGTCCGGATAAAAATCCAGAGCTCAGGACAATGCCTCCACGAGGTCCAGAGCCCACAAGAAGGACTCATGCCAGTCTCTTTTACAGATCCGTGCCGGGTAGACCCAAGGGTCAGCAGTGGATGCCAGAAAGTCTATGCCAGCAGGATGAAGGAGCTGTGCTAGTGGGATGAGGGTTCTACGCTGAAGCCAAGAAGTCACACTCACAACAAAGACCAGGGCTGTCCTGAAAGGCACCACAGCTGTCCTCAACGACACGGAGGCCCCAAGCTCCTCCGAAGACAAGCACAGTCGGGTACATGCCAGGAAGCCAGCGTGATGAGCTCATCCTGGAGACCAAGCAGCATATGTCTTCCCCTCCGGAGCCAGGAAGCAATGCTCGATGTGAGGACCAAGGCTTCTCCAAGAGAACCAACAGATCAGACAGCAACTCAACCCTCTACACCACCCTTCTTCTCCACCTATTTATCCTGGCAACTTTCCTCAGGTGGAGCATCTTCGGTCAATGCCATGCTGACGTAATCCAGCTGGCGTTGTTGATCACCAGTTCTCAACCCATAACACCCTGTAAGGCATGGGGGTGACCTGTGTACAATGTAAGCGAGGCAAAGAGGCTCTCTCTTTTGCTCTTGTTGCTGTGCTGTCTTCTGCTGTCTGGAAGTGTTATCCCTGTGCCACGCCACTCTGCTCTGGAACCATCTGATTATAGACTGAAACTTCCACAAACTATGAACTAAATAAACCTCTCCTTCCTTCATTTTGAGCATCAGGTATTTTGTCTGAGCAACAAGAGAAAATTAACCAAGATAGACCTGACAGAGGCAAAGATAACCACACACACACACACACACACACAGCATGGTCAACGTTGTCATGTAGTGTTGAGATCTCCTTAGAAAGACCTCCAGATTCTGCACTGTCAGAGATTGTGAACTGGGTACAATGTGGACACTTACAGATCAACAACCCAGGGTCTGGTAGAAGGGATAAGAAAATCCAGGAGACAATTCAAGAAAACACAATTAAAACATAATAATATAATAAAAGTCATGTGCCCAAAAGACAGCTTCAATAGTAATTCATTTTGGACCGAGGTGGTTCTTCCCAGAGTTGGTACGGTGAACCTGTGGCACACGTGCACCACGAAAGCTCTGAGAGTTGCCATCATTGCCCATCATTGGCTTAGCCCCTTCCTGGATCCTCCACCAGATTACTTTGAAGGAAACCTCGGACCCACATCCATTTCCTCTGCACCGATCAGTAGAGGGGGGGGGGCATTGCTCAGCAGCACTCCTGGAGACCCCAGGGAAAGCAAAACTTGTAAAAAAAATAAAAATGAAGCCACTGAAGGAAAATTGGTAAGTCAGATGAGGAAAGGAAAAACGAATTAATTCCTAGGAATTACTCTTGGAGTTTGGTGACATTTTGCTATTTAAATATGACAGAAATTTCCATTTCTACTCCTTTTGACTAAAGAAATGGAAGGACAGAAGTCAGACAGTTCACAGGGGAAAACAGCACCAATAGTGGGGGGACATCTACCCACTGCACAGGGTTTAACATGAAAGTAACATATGTGAGCCACGCCGGTCCGCAGTGACAACACTTTTTAAAATATATGGACCATGACCGTATTTTTAGAGTTGTATTTATTTTGCTTCATTCCATGAGACATAAACTGGGATATTCAGTTATAAAATAGCATTTTATTGCTTCTGGGTAATTCCTCAAGAGAGGAAAATAAAGTTTCTTTCCCTCCAAAAAAGTGATAAATGTTTAATAAAACATCTAGACTTTTTCCCCCTAAAGGCTCGGCATGACTGTGGAGTATTTTTATAAGAATGTGATAGCTTCCACCTGAATTTAGCGATGAATCAGAATTCAGGTATGAGTACTGAAAAAGGAGAAATTCTTGTGGCTTCCAAGACAGGATTTACCCTTCTGTAGAAGGAACTGCCCATCAAAGGCGCATGCCGTCATTCGGAAGGCTCATAGACTGCCCCCACCAAAAAGAAACACCCACTTGGAAACTACGGCTAAGAGTTTGGAGCGTCAGATTTAGCTCAAATTGCTAGCTACTTATAAGAAAAGTACGAATATTTTCCCTTTCACATGGACCCCAGCACATTCACACGGGGTGCCCGTAATGTGCTCTTCAGCATGAGGGAGCTTTCAGCTCGACTGTTTCCCCAGAAGTATGTAAGGAACCAGAAGCAAATATTTAAAAAGTTACTTAGAAAGCACAAGCATTTTTAAGCCGAAGATGAAAAATCCTTACAAGGTCTATTTAGGATTTCACCCCAAATCCAGCCTTTCCCAGTGAGCCCGGCCAGGGGCCCTGGATGAGAGGGTGGTGTGCCCCGCCCCGCTCCTCCGCCCTCCTGTGGCCTTGACCCTTCGGGAGTGTGGCTGGGAGACTGCAGCTGTGAATACCTGTGCACAGACGTGGGCCCTGTGTTCGAAGTGTGATCCTTTTGCCTTTCTTCTCCCCTTTTATTTGCTGTCCTGGTGATGTTTGCTGCCTCGATTTTATACTTCTGGTTTTCATTAAATAAAAGTCAGGAGTCGAAGACCGTAAATCTCTTTGTGTGCTGTGTGGCTCCGAGGCAGCGGGTCCCCTCCCAGCCTCAGCCTCAGGAGCGCACTGCCAAAGCCACCGCTGCAGCCAGCCCGGGGGTGCAGAGCCGGGCAGAGGGGCGCGCGGTGTTTGCCTAGGGCCTGCTCACCAGAGTGTACTTTCTCTTTCTCTGGTTTGTTTTCTCAGCTGGTGGTACACGCTCTGCTCCAGGCCCGCTCGGGCTGGTGGAAAACGGCTTCCTCCAAGATCTAACGGTCCGTTTTCAAGAAGTGGTTTGGAGCTTAAAAGAAGGGAGCTCAGTTAGAGCTCTGTGCCCAGCTTGCCTCTGTTTTTCTTAGTACATGGAAATAGGAGCTGGGTAAACAGTTCAGATTTCACATCCCACCTGCAGCAAAATCAGCCAGAGCAGACAAGGAAGGCTCTTTAGACCTTTCCCACCGCTCCATTTTCTGTGTCTTCCAAGCCTACTCCTGGTCTCTGCTGCACACACACACACACACACACACACACACACACACACACACACCCTGTTCCTATCCCAAGGCGGAAGGTCTTTAACCGAAATGTATGATCCTTACAACACCCAGGGACTCTGACTTTCCTGCTGGAGCCCCAGCCCAGCATGGCGAGTGGGCCGCCCTGACCCCCAGCACTGTAAGGCAGGCCTTCTTCGTGTTTTCTCTCCCTTCCTGAACACCAGGAAAGGAAAGGTGGCCTCCAAGAGCCTAGCTAACTGCTTTTCACAGGGAGCCTGAGAGTAGAGACTCGGAGGTGTTTCCTCTTAGGGTGATTGAGAGGAACCCCCCTTCCTCCCACGAGTGCCCTGGCCTCCTCCCTTTCCTCGCAGCGGGAATGTGGACCCGGATCTCAGGTGGGCAAAGCGGTCCCAGAGCTTGGGTCTGTCACATGGCAGCCGCCCAGATGGGTCCCTCTCCTGGAGCAGAGGCCAATGGGCACGAGAGAAAAACGAGTGATGAGAGAGGACAGAACTAGCTTTGCAAGGCTCGTAATCCAGGAAGAGACAGGGAAATGGGTTCCAAACGCCTTCCGGCCTCCAGCTGTAGCTTCTACATACAGAGACAAGGGCTTGCTTAAGGGTTTGCTAGGCTTCATGTGTGAGGAGGCAAAAGCTGTCCCCACTGACCAGCAGCCCAGCAGCCCCGAGCCTAGGGAAGCAGCCAGCGAGGCTGAGACAGGGAGGCCGGATTCCTGCTTCAGGAGGCCTCGCCTTAGAGGTGGGGGAGGTAGGTGGAAGGCTCTGTGCTTTACATTCTCAAGGTTCCTAAAATGACTGAAGGGGAGAGGAGGGGAGGAGAGGGGAGGGGAGGGGGGAGGAGAGGGAAGGGAAGGGAAGGGAAAGGAAGCGAAGGGAAGGGAGGGGAGGGGAGGGAAAGGGGAGGGGAGGGGAGAGAAGGGGAGGGGAGGGGAGAGGAGGGGAGGGAAGGGGAGGGGAGGGGAAGGGGGAAAATAGAGAGACTGCGGGGAGCGCCATGGTGGAGAGGGTAGGCCCCACATGCAGCCATAACCCCAGCTTCTAATTCCCAGTTGTCAGGATTCATCCCACAGAAAAGTGAAAGCTGAAAAGAACGTGTAATCTTCTGGAGAGAGACCCCACAGCATCTCCAGATGTTTCGGGTTATCCTACGGGGAGGGGAGAGACTTGGGTTGGGGGCATAAATATGTTCATTCCCCGCAAGGAGGAAGGTCACCAAGTGGGGATCGGCTCCTCTGTCTTTGGAAGTATCGCGTTTCGGCAGAAGGAGCCAGGAATAAGATATCATTTGTTAACTTTGCTAATCCATTAGGTAGATGTGGGACAGCCTGGCTATTACTGGAGCCCTCCTCTGTGTATCCCGACAAGGAAACGCTGTCCCGCTGCGTGTAGGTGTGGTGTGTGCTAAGACGGCATAAAACTTTCAGCAGCTTCAGACCAAGCTGATTTTTATTTTAGGGAACAGCACACATCGAGTCAGGGGAGAGAGAGGCCCGGCCCTCCTGCCCCGCTGAGGAAGTAACGCACGGGGCGTGAATGGTCGGCTTGGATGGAGGGTGGGGGTTTTTAACAAACCTATCCGAGATACTGAGTTTGTATTGTTTGTGTGTGGGGTTCTCGCTAATGAAATCACTCAGGATCCTGTAAACTTTTTAAACTAAAGGAACCTAGATGTTGTGCACCAATTTCTTTCTTTCTCTTTCTTATCTTTTTTTTATTTGTGTGTTTGTGTGTTTTTTGAGACAGGACCTCACTCTGAAGTTCAGGCTGGCCTTGAGCTCACTTTGTAGGCAGGTTGGTCTTGAACTCACAGTGACCCTCCTGCCTCAGCCTCCCAAGTTCTAGGAATACAGGCGTGTGACACAGCGCCTAGCTCATGTGCCCCAATTTCTGATACTGAGTTTTTAAAAAATCCAAGGCCTCACCAGGCATGGTGGCACACTCCTGCAACCCCAGAGCCTGGAGGGCTGAGGTGGAAGAGTCACCACGAATTTGAGGCCAGCCTGGGCTCCAAAAGGAGACCCTGTCTAACAACAACAACAACAACATCCAAGGCCTGGCCAGGGGATTGGAGAAACAGCAGTGCACTAGTGAACGCAGAGGCAGGGCACGCCCTCAAGATGGGGCTGGTGTCCCCACGCCGGGCACCCCAGGATGCCAGGGTGGAGCCCTTGTCACATCTCATCTGGGCTTTGGGTTCGGGGCCGCGGCTTTCTTTCCTCCAGAGGCACCTAACAGGTGTAGCCCGAGCACCGAGGAGGCTGAGGGCCAGGCGGGGGCCGAGGGCTGTGTGGATCCCAGGTGAAGAGGAGCCTGCTTGAGGTTCCTGGAAACCCAAGCCTTCTGTCCCACCGTTCTGCATGACTTGCTGTGATTCACCACTCGGGCAGCCAGAACCGGCCACGCTGTCTTTCCTCATTCCCACAACACGGGACAGGGCATGACAGGCACAGGGGGTGAACCGAGAGCAGAGTCAATGGATCCCTTTCTTTTCAGTTCCTGTTCCCCTGACAGTGACCCACCGACTAGGAAGTGAGAGGCTGACAGGGGAGCTGATGGATGGAGTGAACTGGAGGCTAAACCGCAACCCAGAAGCCAGGGCTGGGGCTGGGGACCTCGAGGTGTCATCAGCTCAAGGCACTGCCACACCTGGGTGCCACCAGCTTCACCTCCCAGAGGCTCCTGATGGGCAGTGTGCCCCGCCAGGCCGGCGATGTTAATCCTTTCTTCTGCAACCAGCTCCTTGTTCTCCCTGTGGGACCCGCGTCTCCATATTTGGGCCCCTGACAGTTGGCAGGGTGCCTGGCTCCCGAGGGGTTCGGGACACAGGCTGAGGCCGGCGAAGCATTCCACCCACTTAGCCTTAGAGATGGGCTCAGGGGTGAGTTCATGGGCAGAATCAGCTCAAAGAGGCACTGGGCGGGGGGTAAGTCTGATGAGAGAAACTGTCTCTGCGGGCTTGGCAACCACAAAGGTAGTGTGAGTTCAGGGCTCCAGTGGCCCCAGATCATGAAGCCAAACTAAATGGCAGCACCAAAACTGTCTATGCTTTGGATATGTCCCCCAAAATTGCACACGTTGGTAACCTAATTCCAGAGTTAATCCTGCATTCGCACAGTGATGGTACTTGGAGATGGGGCCTTCGGGAGGTCACTGGAATTAGGTGAGGTCATGAGGGTGTGGCCACCTAGGACATCAGTGGCCTTCTGAAAAGAAGAGAGACCTGGGCTACCATGCTTGCTGCCTCACCCCGTGACACCCTCTGCCATGTTGTAATGCTGCAAGGAGACTCCCACTAGGCAGCGGAGTCCTGCGTGGGCTTCCTGGCCTCCAGAACTGTGAGTCAAGTAAACCTTTATTCAAGAATAATTTATAAATGACCCACCTTGGGTACTGTGTTACTGCAACAGAAAACAGACAAGGAAAAACCTCTGGATTCAGTTGTCACCAAGGGCAAATCCAGTGCTACCCACTGTATTCCATTTTTCTTATGTCTGTACTTACACTTCTGCCATATCATCAAGAAAGTACGAAGTTCATAGTGCCCACGTCCGTACAAATCCATAGGAAGGGACAGGAGAACTCTGAAATAATTGCAAGTTGTATCAAAAGAGTAAAGAACATTCAGTCTAATTCTCCCCATCATTATCACAGGTCATTTCTCCCAAGGCTCCATGCGCCTCTCTCTCATGTTTTCACTTACTGGGGAAGACACAGAGCAGAGGGTGCCTCTGGACCAATCACTGCTTTGAATCACACATGAACCACACAATGACTACAGTCACAGAGCTGGAGAAAGAGCCCACCCAACAGCCAAGGAGAAGAGACGGCACTCAAAGGCAGTCAGCCAGATGAGGGAAAGGAAATCAGAGAAGGAGCTGGGAAGGAAGGAGGGGAAGATGAAGAGAACAAGCTGGGGAGAGTTACCTTGTGAGTTGTTTGCAGAACACCCAGGGTTGGGATTACACATGCACTTTTCAAGGTAAGTAAGGGGATACAGGTTGGAGACATTAAATTTGGAGTCAGTGATATTTGGGCATTGAAGGGACGGGGGAGCATTCAGTAAAACCATGTAAACCAATGGGGGCTACCAAGATGAGGCTTAGGGAAAAATGAATACACCACTTTTTTTCTGGACAGGACATTTACAGGGTGAATAAAGTGAATATACCATTTCCTTTCCAGACAGGACATTTACAGGGCTGGGCTAAGGGAAGGAAATCAAGAAGGAAAATGGCACCAAGAGAAGAGAAACCAGGAGAAAATATCACCAAAACTAAACAAGAGAGAGTTTCCAAAAACGAAGCCATTGGCAAAGCTGAACGCCACAGAGAGGTCAAAAAGCAGAAAAGCTGTAAAATACCCAGGATGTGGTGGCATTCTGGAGAGCTTTTTTCTCAATGGGACTGTGGCATCAGCTCCACAGGACGCCCTGAGCTCTCCTCCTCCAGGAGGAGAAGACACACGTGCATCTCAGCCCCTGCTCTCCGTGCACTCGGGACCATTTCTCAGCACGGTCCAGTAAATGATTCCTTCCCACATTTTTCTTTGGTTTTATTGTATTACCTCCTCCTCCAGGCCAGGGACTCTGTATTGTTCAGCTTTTTCTTTTAAGCTACTGAATTTAGGTCTGACTTACAGCTAGAGAATTGTAATGTTATAATTATACAGTTCAACTGATTTTCACATAACTCCCGCCTAGATCCCCCTATACATTGCTAGACCTAGTGTCTAGCCCTTCCAAGACTCGGTGTGGATATCAAATGTTTAGGTATCTGCAGGACATTCGAGT